AAAGAAAGTAGGAACTATTAAAAGCCAGGGCAAATTTAAATGGATCATAAGGAAGATCAAATGATAGACAGGGTGCAGAATGTTAGTCGAACTGCGTCTGCAACAATCCACTTTGCGATACATTCTGCACGTTAGCAAGGCTCCTCACAGTCCTGTCCATGGTCAGAGGGGATTCCCCAGTGGCTCAATCCCCTTCACTTAAAAAAGCGAAAAACAAAAAACTGAAACAGCTTTAAAATGTGTCAATAGGGTGATCGATTGATATTATATTTTAACCTACGTCCACACGAATCGACTTCACACTGTTCTGTCTGATGACAGGGCTATCCACATCCTTAACTAAGATCAGAGGGAATTCACCAGAAGCTAAATCCACGTGGGGACCCTGCAAATGGATTTGGGGCTTCCCTGTCATCCACCCACTTCTGCAAACCAGGTGCTCACAATTTAAGCTCTGATCGTCTCCCTCGCTCATATTTGGATTTTGTGATCATCATCTTTGGATCACAGAGGCCGGTACGCTTCTTCCATGTGGACCTAGCCGCCTCGCTGGCTGCCGGGTTGACAACAAGCCTTAAGACGCCAGCTGGGAATCCTTCCGAGAGCCAGACACCATCTAGCTTCTTCACCACGTTTGCTAGAGCGTGCATACCTTCATGAAGAGTTTGCTACAGGGAAGAATTGTTGGTGTAAGGCAAGAGTCCAGCAAGACTACGCTGTGAAGTTAACATCGTAGGAAGTTTAAGTCTGAGAAAATGTCAGATGGGGCCATCAGCGGTCCCTGTACTTCCTGATTGGGGCGGAGACTCGGCATCAGACAAAGGCTGATCGATTGCTGTAGGATGGAAACCAGACCCACCTCCTCCAATCTTTTTTTTTTTTTCCAACCAGCTCTCACACCGTCCCTCCCTCCCATGAGTCTCTGCTTCTCTGGTGGGTTCAATGGCCACACAGAGCTCACAGACCACGCGCACAATTAGGAGCTTGTTCGGGAAGTAACAGACTACAATTCGAGATCCGCTTGAAGTTGCAGGAACAACTCAGGATACAGTTATTTGATCTTAACAGCTTCTTCCAGGCTGTGCCTGCAGGCAGGCTCCTGCCATTGGTCCATGTCCCAGCTTGGCCTCTGTCCCACTCGGGCAAGTGTTACAATGTTTCAACTCACTGGTAAGTACCCAGAGGCACCCCACTCTGCCAAGAAGTCTCTGCTCAAAGACAAGCTCTGGCTCTGTAGCCATCTGCTGACCCCAAGCTGCTGCAGACACCTCCAAATGCCATGGCTCCGATTTACAGCTCTCCATCTCCTGGGTCTGGGAGGTTCTCGGCACAGGGACCCCAGGTCCAAAGGGGTCCACGCCTGTCCCTTTTTTCTCTGAGATGAGCTCTTGTTAAGCCCAGCAGCATGGCAAACCTGATCAATCCCCTTGGTGGGTTGCAGGTAACTTATTTGCATATCCCAGCCAATCCTGGGAATTTTAAGCCTTATTTGCATATATCACCCAATCAGTCTGTGGGAGCTCAAAGACCAAGGCCAGAAGAGTCACATAAAAAGAAAAACTCACTGCCCTACAGCAGGTGTGTATGCATATTGAGGAGGCAAAGGGGTAGACTGTGGTGGGCATGATGGATTGACAGACTTCACCTCACCTCTTTGTATGCCTTTCCAGGCATGCTGAGTGGATACAGAGCAAAAATCTTTATTGACTCTGACATTATTTAATCAAATTATGCATAGCCATGCCCTATGACTCAGCAATTCTGCTCCTGGTCTGCCCTCAGAAAAGTAATTACACCGCAACATATTCAGGGCAAGATGACTTGAAGGCCACCTACAGAACAGGAGACAGATAACCTGGGATGGATGCTTGAATAGGTGGGTTGATGGGCAAAGGGGTGGCTGGTTAGTCACCACAGGAACCGGTTAGTTTAATCATAGCCTAATGACTAACATCTCCTTCTGCCTCAATCGTTGAAAACAAGCACGTATGCTGGACTCCCTTGCTACCAGAGTCCTGCACGAGAAATAGATCCCATTCCTTAGCTGGACTCAGAACAACGGGAAATACGGGCCAGCAGTGGAGGAGGTGGGCTGCCCCGGGTCCCTGGCTTTGCAGGTATCAAGAGGCAGCGGTGGCTGCCCCAGCCTGTGTTCCAGTGTCCAGTCTCAGCTTCTGGGAGCTGTGAGGACAGACATGGCAGTATGTTCTGGAAGTCAACAACTCTGGGGACATCTCTTCATGCCTTCCAGTGCCTTTGTAAGCCCTTGATTCTGTCTCCGGTCCTTTCCTGGGGAAAAGAGCTGGAGAAAAATTGTTTTCTTCGAGCCAAGCCCTTTCTGATTTGGCAATAACCTACTCAAGGTCATTGAGCAATACAGGCAAAGGTCGAACTTGGGACCGGTCTCCTGACCCCTACCTGTAATAGCTCCTGCTTGTCCCAGGCCACCTTTCCTTGTCCCCACTTGGGGGAAAGGCAAGCTTGGCTGCTAGGAACCAGAGAGCTGGAAGCCATAAAGGTAGGGATGGCAGAGGGGCCTTTCCCCAAACAGTAAAGTCCAGCCCCTGGCCAGTCTCCCACGGTGCAATGCAACCTACAGCTTCCTCGAATCCTGGGGCTGGCTCAGGCGGCGGGTTGGGGACGTTGTGCCCCCCGCAGGGTTGCTCTAAAGCAGACAGCATGGAAACTGCAACAGGATGACAAAACATTATCACCAACCAGCTTGGTGACTCCAGGGAAGTGGCTAATCTCTGACCTATACCTTGCTCCATCTGCAGGGCCGTCACAGGACGCTGAAAGGATTCAATGAAGCAACCTGTGTAGTAACTGCCGGCTCAGGATCTGGCAGCAGAACTGGCCTCAATAAACTGAATCCTAAATGCCTGGCTTATCTGAAAAAGAAAAAAGGCGGGGAACAGTTAGGAAACCTCCCTCCACGCAGATTGGATTTCTTGGGAGGCCGAGGTTAGGGAAAGCCAGGCTAGCTTGAGCCCAGGCCATGGGACAGGGGATCCCGGGGCAAAATTAACTAGAAGGCAAACATTCTGGCCTTTAAGTGATACCCTCTCAGCCCCCAACTGAGTCTTCCTAACTGGCCCTTCCCAGCACGGGTTCCAGTCCACCCAAGGGACACCTATGTTCCCGCCTCCGCTTGTGGGTTGGTAATTACCTTATCTAGCGTGAGTGCCCCGGGGTCCCAGCCCATAGCCACCACATCCATTCTGACAGTGACCAGTGTACAGCAGCTCTACAGGGTTTCTGAGATGAAAGCTTTACAGGCACAGCCAGCCTCCCCTCTTGTCCCCAGTATGCTGGGTGGCCTTGGGCAAGGCCAGGGGGACATGGAGAGGTCGGTAGCTCTCGGCCACTCCCTCGAGTCCGTTCCGGCTCATAGTGACTCTATAGGACAGGGTAGAACTGCCCGTGTGGCTTTACTGGGGTAGAAAGCCTCATCTTTCTCTTGAGGAAGGGCTGGTGGTTTCAAACTGCTGACTTCGGGGTTAGCAGCTCAACACGGAAACCCACATCGCCAGGGCTCCTGTCACCCCCCCCAAATGAAACTCACTTATGCCGACTCCTAGTGACTCTATAGGACAGCGTAGAACTGTCCCTGTGGGCATTCTGAGACTGTAACTCTTTACTGGAGTAGAAAGTCCCCTCCTTCGGTTCTCTGCCAGTGGAGATGAAGTCTGTCTGGGGAAGTGCTGAATTGCTGCTGTCAAGGCTGGCGGTTCAAACCCTTACAAAGTCTTGGAGACCCTACTACACAGGGTTGCTGTGAGTCAGAATCCAATCGATGGCAGTGAGTGATGGTAGGCTTTCTGGGTGGGGGTGTCCTACCAGAATAAGGGTTCTTATTCTGGAAGTTTTTCCGAGGGCCTGTGAGTCCCCCAGACCCTCCCCATGAGCACACGAGGCAGGGGAGGCGTGGGGGCCAACAAGAGTTTTATAAAAGCGATCACAGGAGTAAGGCCTGGCGGGCCCTAAGCCGCCTCTCCAGGGCAAGCCCCCAGCCTTGTGCCTGCACCCAGGCTCAGGCAGCCTCCGAGAGACCCCGGAGATAATCCCCCACAAGGGGCAGCACAGTCCAGTCGTCGGTCAGCAGTGCCACCGACACTCCATCCTCCTGTGCCGCCCCCAGCCGCAGTAGCAGTCTGGAGGCTGGGGGCAGGTGGATGGCGACACAGTAGCTGTCAGGGGGCTGGGCGACCACCACAAAGGGTCCCAAGCGGCGGGACACCAGGGCCTCCAGCCCCTCAGGCCCCAGCGGGCACCACACCCGACTCTCGGTGCCTTTGGGCAAGCAGGAGGCCCAGAGCTCCTCAAAGAAGCTGGAGCCCGTGCCCTCGAGGGGCGATGGGAAAGGAAGAAAGAGGTCCTCAAACTTGACCGGCAGGGGCGGCAGGTGGGCGTGGCAGGTGCGCCCGGTGGGCGTGGTGTAGACGGCGCTAACGCACAGGCGCGTCGGGGCGGGGCGTCGGGGCTGCAGCGGCAGGAGCAGAGGGCGGGCAGGGCGGCCGGGGTGCAGGCAGGGTACGTGCACGGCCTCCAGGGGCCTGTAGAGCTGGCCCTCCACGCGGAAGCGCAGCTCCAGGGAGTAGAGGGGCTGCAGCGGCTCCAGGAGCAGCTGCAGCACAGGGCTAGGGCCCTCCAGCCGCCGGGGCCCCACGCTCAGACGAAGGGCGGCGGGGGCCTCCTGCACTGTCAGTGCGGCTGCAAAGCCCTGGTTCTCGGCCACCAGAGAGGAGGCCAGCGCGGGGGCGGCGAGCGAGGGACCCAGGGCCATGGCCAGCTTGGTCTCTGAAAGGTGGGCCAGGAGGAGGTAGTAGAGGCGGGCACGGTCCTGACCATCAGGGTCCTCAAGCTGACTAGCCAGCATCTGAAGCAAGTCCGCCAAGCCCCCGGCCACCCCGTCCCGAAGCAGGCTCCGGCAGACCTGCAACAGTGCTTGCTGGAGGGCCCAGTCAGAGCAGTGGGCAGCCGCCTCCTGCAGGAAACGAAGTGTGGTACTCTGGCCATCCCGGCCCGCCACCTTGGCCAGCATCTGCAGGTGCCATCGCAAGGCCCCATCGCTGCCCGTCCCCAGCACCACCTCCTGACGCAGAGCCACCCTGAGGGGCTCCCTGAGCTCAGGGCCCACTGAATTCAAGAGATCCACAAAATGGGGGGCCAGCGCCGGCCGGCACTGGTACAGCTGGGCCAGCCCCTGAGTCAGAGAAGTCAGCACTGTGGGCTGCCCCGCCAGGCAACTAGCAACCAGGTAGGAGGCCCGGAAGCAGAGCGTGGCTGAGGCCCGGGGCCCTGCAGCCAGGGAGGCCCTCTGCCGCAAGCCAGCCAGCACCTTCTCCAGGTAGCACCGCAGGCTTTGCACCCGGCCTTTGCTCTCCTCTTCTCCGTCCTCCGCACAGAGCAGGCACAGCAGGTGCAGGTGGGCCAGGAGGGTCATCGGCTCCTGCAGGAGGCTGGGCAGAAGCCCCTGGCACAGCTGGACCCCCAGCAGCAATGGAGGGCCCTCCTCACCAGAGGGGCCCAGGGGCCAGTTCTCTGGGAAGTTCAGGAGGCAGTGCAGGTAGAAGAGGTGGGTGGGTGCGGGCAGGGCTGGGTGCTGGGCAGCTGCGGTGAGCCGGTGGAGCAGTAGGGCCTCATCCTGGGCAGTGAACAGGGCCTCTCCAAAGGCTGCCTTGAGCGCTAGGATGGCGTGCAGCAGGGCAAGCTGGCCGGTGCCCAGCAGCCGTACCAGCTGCGGCTTGAAGAGTGCTGGTGGCTGGCCACGAAGGCCCTGAAGGCCCCAGCCCAGTAGCCACAGGAGCTGGGCCTGGGCCACAGGAGTGAGCAGGTAGCAGACGTCCAGGAGCTGGGCCACGGTGGCTCGCAGTTCCCGGACCTCCTCAGGGCTGGTTTCCAGTGCTGCAAGGCCACGGCCCCCCTCCTCAGCTGCTGGACAGCTGGGCGCCTGGGGCTGTAAGCGGCCATCTCCTTCTTCGGCTAGTGTCCAGTCCCAGGGGCGGGGCCCACCTCCGGTGGGGAAGTGGCTGTCTGTGAGTAGGCCCCCGAGGCCGGCCCCAGCCCTGGCCCGGATCACCAAGCCATTGCGTAGGGCAAGGGCGAGCAGCAGGCTGAGTGGCTGCACTGGGCCCTCCAGGCCCAGCAGGCCACGCAGAAACCCCAGGCAACCCCCCAGCAGCCCTGGCTGGCAGCTCTCTAGCTCCCGCAGGCACTCCCAGGCCGTGGCCTGCAGGGGACGCTGCTCGGCGGCTGGGCCAAAAACCCCATCGCCATCCCGACCAGCGGCCAGGTCCAGCAACAGGGGCAGCAGGCGCCCAGAGGCTCCAGAGGTGGGGCCGAGCGCACCTCCTGCCACCAGGGCCGCGGTGGCTGCCAGCAGCAGGGGCCGCCGGAGAACCGAAGGCCGTGGGGCTAAGAGGCGCAGGGTGTCCAGCAGGGAGGTGGCAGCCGCTTCTGCCTCTGCAGCATCCGGCCACAGCTGGTCTGGGAACTCCATGCTCAGGGCCAGCAAGGAAACCTAGGATGTCGGGAGGGAACCCTGAAGGTGAGGGTCGGCAGTGCGGACACCTGGGGTGTCCCTAGAGGCAGGGGACGCGAGCAGGGTCTACCTTAGTCTGTTCGCTCAGTTTCTCACTCCGCAGGTCACTCAGCAGGTCGCGTCCCAAACTCTCGCCCTCGGGACCTGCCATGAAAGCAGACGGGCCGGCCCGAAAGGCGCCCAGGCGCTGGGCCCAGGCTTCCCGGCTCAGAGGGCCCATGGCCAGGCGCGCGGGTCCCTGCGGAGGAGAGCG